GCAGGGAAGAGGTTTTGTCAGAGGGTTATCAGTCTAACCCAAAGTGTGGGCCCCTGTCTGGTCCTCGCCTGGCACATAGGCCAAGGGAAGGGTCAGTGTGGAGCTCCCTCCAACACTCTAGGAAGGAAGACTCCTATGAATGTGGAGAATTGCCCGAGGAGGTGAAATGCTTGTCACAAGATTACTCAGCTCATAGGTATCAAGTGTGATTTGAACCTGGGTCTTCCTGACTCCAAGGCCAGCCCTCCACCTGCTCTGCCAGGACGCTCCTAGGAAATATAGAAAGCTCTTGCTAGTCACAGATGGAATTTGGGACCATGGAGGGAAGGCCCAGCCTTATGCATTCAAGGCAGTGAAAATCTACCCTTGTGGGTGGGGGGGTGGTCCTAGATTTAGTGAGGGGACAGACCTTAGAGGTAATGGAGTACAAACCCCTCCTTTACAGGGGAGGAAACAGGCACAGAGGCAAGGAGTGACCTGCCCAAGGTCCCACGGGATGCAAGGAGGGAGCTCCTCAGGAGACAGCAGTGAACCAGGAGGGTCTTGACCATTGTGTTCTTAGAGGCAGGGGCCAGAGGGATGAGTCTCTGCTCTGCTTGACTTGGGGTCTTGTAGGTAGAATCCCTGCTTGAATCCTGGGGCCTCTGAGCTGTTGCTGAGTCCAAAAGCTGAGGCAGCTGGTGAGTGACCCTGGGACTCTTCTGGTTACCTGATAGTGGACTCTAGGCTTCTGACTTTTTTTTTTAATGAGGTTGGAAAGTTTCTTTAAAAAAAATCTAATATAATATTTATTTTTCCTAATTACATGTAAAAACACTTTTAACATTCTTTTTTTTTCTTTCAAATTTTGAGTTCCAAATTCCCTCCTTCCTTTCCTTCTCTCTCCCTCATTGAGAAGGCAAGCAATTTGACATAGGTTATACATGTATAGTCACGCAAAACACATTTCCATGTAAGTCATTCTGTGAAAGAAAACAGACAAAAACAATAAGAAAAATATGGAAAAGTACCTTTGCTCTGCATTAAGGCTCTGCCAGTTATTTCTCTGAAGATGGAAAGCACCTTTCATCGTAAGTACTGTAGAACTGTCTTGGATTCATTGTATTGCTGAGAATAGCTAAGCTATTCATAGTGGATCGTCATACAATGTTGTTGTTACTATGTACAACGTTCTCCTGGTTCTACTCATTTCACTCTGCATCAGTTCATGTAAGTCTTTGATATTTTTCTGAGAGCATGGTGCTCATCATTTCTTAAAGCACAAAAGTATTCCATCACTATCATACACAACTTGTTCAGCCATTCTCCAATTGATGGACATCTTTTTAATTCTTTGCTACTACTAAAAGTACCGCTATAACTATTTTTTTTACACATCAGTCCTGTTCCTTTTTGTTTTTTAATCTCTTTGGGATACAGACCTAGTAGTAGTATTGCTTGGTCAAAGGATATGCATGGTTTTATAGCCCTTTGGGTGTAGTTCCAAATCGCTCTCCAGAATCATTATACAATACAGAATCAGTATACAACTTGATCAATAGTACAATGTCCCATATAGGAATATAAACAGTTTAACCTTATTAAATCTCTTATGGTTTCTCTTTCTTGTTTACCTTTTTATGTTCCTTTTACATCTAGTATTTAAAAGTCATATTTGCTCTGATCTTTTCATCAGGGATGCTTGAAAGTCCTCTATTTCATTGAATATCCATTTCCCCCCTGAAGAATTATACTCAGTTTTGCTGGGTAGTTGATTCTTGGTTGTAATCCTAGCTCCTTTGCTCTCTGGAATACCGTACTCTAAGCCCTTCAATCCTTTAGTATAGAAGCTGCTAAAGCTTCTGCTATCCTAATTGTGGCTCCACAATATTTGAATTTTTTCTCTTTGATTGCTTGCAATATTTTTCCTTGATCTGGGAGGTCTGGAATTTGGCTATAATATTCCTGGGAGTTTTCATTTTGGGATCTCTTTCAGGAGGTGATCAGTGGATTCTTTCCATTTCTGATTTACCCTCTGGTTCTAGAATATCAGGGCAGTTTTCCTTGATAATTTCTTGAAAGATGATGCCTAGGCTCTTTTTTTGATCAAGGCTTTCAGGTAGTCCAATAATTCTTAAATTATCTCTCCTGGATCTGTTTTCCAGGTCAGTTATATTTCCAATGAGATATTTAACATTTTTTCATTCTTTTGGCTTTGTTTTATTGTTTTTTGATTTCTCATAAAGTCATTAACCTCCATTTACTCCATTCTAATTTTTAAGGAATTACTTTCTTCAGTGGGCTTTTGTAACTCCTTTTCCATTTGGCCAATTCTGCTTTTTAAGGCATTTTTCTCCTCATGGGCTTTTTGGACCCCTTTTACCATTTGGCTTAGTCTGTTTTTTTTGGCATTCTTTTTCTTTTTCTTTCTTAATTTTCACATTAGTCATGTTATAAAGAAGAATTAGAATCAATAGGAGGAACCACAAGAAAGAAGAAATAAAACAAAATGGAAGTAAGAAAAAAAAAGAGCAAATAGTATGCTTCTATCTGCATTCAGACTCCATAGTTCTTTCTCTGGATGTGGATAGCATTTTCCATCATAAGACCCTTGGAGATGTCTTATATCCTTGCACTGCTCTTCTCAAGAGCTAAATCTATCAAAATCAGTCATTGAACAATGTGGTTCTTACTGTGTACGACATTCTTAAAGTGTTATTTTCCTCGGTATTTTTTTTGTCTCCTTTACGAAACTGTTGACTCATTTTTCATGATTTTCTTGCATCACTTTCATTTCTCTTCCCAATTTTTCCTCTACTTCTCTTACTTGATTTTCAAAATCCTTTTTGAGCTCTTCCATCGCCTGGGACCAATTCACATTTTTCTTGGAGGCTTTGGATGTAGGAGCTTTGACTTTGCTGTCTTCTTCTGAGTGTGTGTTTTGATCTTCCTTTTCGCCAAAGTAAGTTTCTATAGTCAGAGTTTTCCCCATCATTTGCTCATTTCCTCAGCTTATTGCTTGACTTTTTAACTCTTTGTTAAGGTAGGGCTCTGCTTCCAGGGTGGAGGATGAGTTGTCCCAAGATACAGGGGTTTTGTGCAGCTGTTTTCAAAGATACTTCTGGGGACCTGTAAGGTTTCAGTTCTTCCAAGGTGGTATGATTCAAAGGAGAGGTATTTACTCCTCTCCTGGCCTGTGCTATGGTCTGTGAGTGACCACAAGCACTCTTTTCTGCGCTGGAACTGTGAGGAGGGTCTCCTCTCTACTGCTGCCACAAGCTCTTCCTCTCCCCAAGACTGTCACCCAGGACTGCGATCCAGATCCAAGTATGGGCAAAGCAACAGAGTCCTGCTCAGTGCTAGCAAAGAGACCCCTGTATCTTCTTCAGCCCCTTATGGCTGTGGGCTAAGAGCTCTGGAAGCAGCTGCTGCTGCTGCTGCCACCTCTGCTGATTCAGTCACTCCCAAGGCCTGCTCCTGGTTTGCTGGTGCTGTGCTGTGATGGTCAGGTCTGTTCTAGACTGTGCTCTCCTCTTACCTAGAGCTTTCCTGCTGACCTTCTAAGTTGTCTTGGGCTGGAAATCTGTTTCACTCTGTCTTCTTGTGGGTTCTGCTGCCCTAGAATTTGTTTAGAGTCATTTTTTAAAGGTGTTTGGAGGGATTTGGGGGAGAGCTCAGGCGAGTCTCTGTCTTTGCTCCACCGTCTTGGCTCCATCTCCACAGGCTTCTGACCTCTACCCAAATTGGAAAGCCTCTAGTGTGAGGCACCTCATGACCTTGGGAGACTGTCCTCACCACTCCTGAGACTGGGTCACTTCATAATATCACACTAGCAACATTTGAAAGCACCTTGGTGATGTAGTACACAGGGCGTTGGGCCTGGAATTAGGAAGACCTGAGCTCAACTGTGGCTTCAGACACTTACTAGCTGTGTAACACTGTCTTCCTCAGTTTTCTCAACTGTGAAATGGGGATAATAATAGCTTCCCAGGGTTGTTGTAAAGATTAAATGAGATAATATTTGTAAAGTGCTTAACAGTGCCTGACACAAGTAGGTGCTTAATAAATGCTTATTTCCTTCCTTCCCATTTTATCATGCTACAAAAGATCAAAGGATCCTGGGCTCAGAGCTAGATGGGTCCTTAGGGGACATTGTGTCCATCCTCCCATTTTATAGATGAGGAATCGAGGCTCCTCAGAAGAGGGGAAGTGTTGCTCACCGGTGGTCTTTGAAACTCTCTGATTTCAAGCCACTTTCCAACCACCATGCCAGGCTGACTCTCCAGGGCAGCTTTACAAAGTGAACAGATTCTGAGCAGCTTTGCGAAGTAGCAAAAGCATCAGTGTCTCCTTTTTACAAGTAAAGAAATAAGTACAAACATCTAGCAACTTACCCATAGCCGCATAGCCAGGAAGTGTCGGAGCTGGGATCCCTGGAGCCTAGGACTTCTGGTGCTACATCCGCTGCTCTGTCCCCTGGACCACACTGCCTCAGTCAATCCAGTTGAACAAAATTTTATTAAGTGCCTGCTATGTGCCAAGCACTATGCTAGGTGCTGGGGAAACAGACAAGAAGGAAACAGCCTCTGCCCTCAAGGAGCATCCACTCCACCATGTTCCAGTTCATTGCTCTTTGTCTTGGGTTTATCATCATCAGCTCATCCTTCTTTCCTCAGGTGCTCAAGGTCTTTGGGGCACCTGGGCTATGTCATGGTACATGTGTGTCTGGAGCGGACACAAGACACCATTTCCATTTGGCTGGAGCTCATGCTTCCATCCAATCCTGCCTTCTGTTACCCTTTGTTCATATGAAAAATCCCATCCCACTTTTCATCCTGGCCCAGTCTTTGCTTGGGTTTGCTTGGGTTGCTCTTCCAACCTGGGAATCTGAGCTCCTTCTGTGTCCCTGGAAACTGATAATGACGGCGGTCCAGGTGACTTGTTCTCGTATCTCTCCAGTCTCTGTTAAACCCAGGAAAAGATTGATTGTCCTCTCAGGACTGATCACACTTCCAGGCTCAAACACTTTGCCACCCTCTTTCCAACTGGCTGAATTTCTCTTGGCTCTTTCCCAATTTTCTATTAATTCCTTCCTTGGCTCTCAGACCCCTTGCGTGATTATGGCAGATTTTTTTTTCTATTTTTCTGATCTGGGCACCAGATTGTTCTGGAGAACTTTGGTGTAGGGGAGGGGAAGAGGAAGTCGCTCTCCAGAGCCTCTGCCCACTGTCCCTGTATGAGTTCTAGAGTCAAGAATCCTGGCTCAGCCTCCAACTAAGAATTTCCTGGGAAGACTGGTCTGACTCCTTGACTCCCCATTTGGCCTTCCTACCCACCTCTGCGAGGACTGCTGTTTGACCCCAGAGATGCGGTGGGGTATCTTGGGCAGAACATTAGGTCCTGGGATTGGTCCAGCCTTAGATAGGGGTTGGGGAAAAGGACTCATAGGTTATAGTTCAATCCCTTCTTTGGGCCTCAGTTTCCTCATCTGTAAAATGAGGAGGGTTAGATGGTCTCTGAGGTCCCTCCCAGCCTCCAATCAGTAGTTCTATTTCTTCAAAAACATTTGTGGAGTACCTACTATATGTCAGGTACTTCTATGACCCGCTGAACGTAGGCTGAGCTCAAGGCGAACCTCTGAAATTTATTGACTAGTTAATTTAATAAATGTTTAAAGACCACGGCTTTTGTTTATAGTCTAGTAGGGGGAAAAAATCACAGTCTTTCACTGGAATTGAGATTTCCAGTGGTGTACCTTTGTTCTACACATGAGGGGCCGTGTGGTATTGTGGATAGAGCCCTGGTCTCGTGGTCGGGAAGACCTAAACAGGAATCTCACCTTTGGTATTTGCTAGTTGTGTGACCCTGGCCAAGTCTTTGAGCTTCCGGTTCCTTCTCATGTGTGAAATAGGAACAATTTCTTACAGGGTTATCGTCCACACTGAGATGTCTGTAAAGTGCTTTGAAAACTTGGAAGAGTTCTGTGAATTTCAGTTAGTATTATTGTTATTCTTTGCCCCCAGATTATAAATTCAATGTCACGCTCGCCTCAGTTTCCCGTGGGGAAACTATTGGGAGGGGGGAGAAGTCATGTCTTCTTGTGCTGAAGGCTTGGAAAGGTGCAAAGGATCCTTTGCAGTGAGAAAGCCCTCATATTCATGTGGTTTCAGGACAACTTCTGTGGGTCTCTCTTCCCTATGATCTCTGAACGGGTAGCAGGGAGGGTCATTCCATCTTCTCTCCCCGGAGAATCCTCCTTGAAGGCCCTCAGCAGAGTCAGCTTCAGCGACTTTCTTTTCTTATTCTTCCAGAGGTTGCCAACAAAGAAGTAAATGATGGGGTTGGCACTGCTGTTTATGCAGGAGAGAAGCTCAAAGATAATAGAGATAGACCTGTGGATAGCCACTTTGAACCCAAAGTGGACAACAAACCAAACCTTCTGGGGAAGGCCAAAGAGAAGGAACACGAGGATGGTCACCAAAATGGTGATGTGGAGCTTGGCGGGGTGGTGCTGCTTGGATCGCTGCTGGGACTTCAGGAAGAGAAGCAGGCTGGACAGAACCATCAGCGGTGTAGATACCAGGAAGTTGAGTACGCAGCTGAAGATACTGACGATGTATCTCCAGGTCTTGTACCTGTCCCCTGTGTAGATCTCAAAGTAAAACTCTAGGACAGCCATGAGGACTGAGAGGGACCAGATGAAAGCACAGATGGAAGGAGATTTCTTCTTCAACTGGTGGTATCTATACCAGAGTGGAAAGAGCATGGACAGACACCTCTCCACAGCGATGACCATCAGGAAGCCCAGCCCTGTATTGTACACAAATATGTTGAATACGAGAGTTCCGTGACATATATAAAACATGTGGCACTTGGTAAGAAGCTTGCTAGTATATATATAAAGAATCTTGGCAAGGTACCAAATTATTCGTCCCAAGAGGAAGCTGAGGTCAGCAACTGTCAGATTGAGGATATAGACGGTAAAGTGGCTTCTCTTAATGTGGAAACTGAGAAACCAGAGGACAATGCCATTTCCCAGCAGCCCGCAGAAGCAAGTGATTAAGTTAAAGAAGATCATGATGTGGGCTTCTGTGTCACGACTAGGTTTTGGAAAACAGGTAGTAATTTCCTGGCTACCGTTATTGGAATCATTGCAGGTCATCTTTTTAACAGACAGGAAATGTAAATTTATGAAAAGGCAAATGTGCCGTCTCAAGAGGTGTTGAGCTCCCCCTTCTCGGAAGTCTTCAAGCAGATGCTGAATGATCACTTGGGTGTGTTACAATGGGAATACCTTTTGTGTATGAGTTGGATTAGTTGGCCTCTGAGGTTTCTTCTGATTCTCAAATCCTGTGATTCTATGGTACTGGACTGGTCTTGTCTGGAGGTAGCAGGATGTAATAGGGGTCTTCTGGATCTCTCTCATACACCTGCTAAAAATGAGAAGAGAGGTGTGAGCTGAAAAATGGCAGTGGACCCAAAACAGGGATGGATAAAGCAGAGAAAGAGATCTATAGCATATCCTCAGTAATAAATATGGATGCAAAAATTAAAACAAAATCATAGCAAAGGATCTCACCAATATATTTGTTATTCATAATGACCAAGTTGGATGTATACAAGGTATGAAAGGATAATTCAACATTAAACAGCATGCAATAATTGTCCATGCAAACAACAAAGTAACAAAAAACATGGTGATTGTATCTCTTTTAAAAAATAGATCCATGATTTCATTGGCATTGGGCATTCCATATGAGTCCCCAACTCCCTCTACCAATGCAAGTCAATTACTGCTAGGTAACTTGTAGTCTTAGAGCATTGAGTGAGGCAGTGAGAAGCCATGCACCTTGCTTAGGGTCACACAACCAGTATGCATCAGAGTCAAGACTTAAACTCAGGTCTTCTTGGCTTCAATGCTAGATCTCTATCCATAATGCCACACTGCTTTTCTCCATCAATAAATGCAGAATACAGCACTTAACCTCTAATTAAAACATTGAAAAAGCACAGCCATGATAGGTCCCTTCTTCAGAATGAACTGGTCTATATCTAAAAGGAGGAGACCTCATTGTTTCCCATGATGAAACACTGGAAGCTTTCTCACTTTTGGACGTAATTCAGTAAATGCTATGGCAGTGATACAAGAGCGAGGAGCTGTAGATGGAAAGCTCAACAAAGAGGAGACAACATCATTGTGTTCTGTAGATGACCAGATGGTTTAACTTTTGAAAATCCAAGTGAATTCATGAAGAAGCTAATTGAGCTGGTCAATAGCATCAGCAAAGTAGAACAGTACATAATAAACACAATCACTGACATTTCTATATAAGTATGAGCCATCCCCCCCCCCAAAAAAAAACAACCATAAGGGAACCATGGTAAGGGAAAGTCCATTTAAAATAACTACAAAAGGTATAAAATATCTGGGAGTTTAAAGGAAAACATGTGGACAAATATTGATTATTTATGAATGAGCTTTGCTAACATAATAAAAAGTACCATACAACTGGAGTGGGTGCAATATTCTAAACTCTGCCCTTCTTTACCCCCCACCTCCCCCTGATGCAGGTTGGCCACTAAGTGTTACTGAACCTAGAGTCAGGAAGGCCTGAGGTCAAATCTGGCCTCAGATGCTAGCTGTATGACCCTAGACATCACTTAATCTCTGTCTGCTTCAGTTTCCTCAACTATAAAATGGGGACAATAACAGCATTTACCTCTTTGGGTTGTTGTGAGAATCAAATGAGATAATATTTATAAAGCACTTAGCACAGTGTCTTGCATATACTAGGTGCTCTATAAATGCTTATTCCCTTCCCCTTTGCCCCGCATTCTCATGTAGGATAGGCTAAAAGTATTGGACATTGCTTGAGACTTGTTTGGCTGAGGGGATTAAAGCTTCAGATTATTGAATTATTGATTCAGATTATTGATTAAAGCTTTCAGATTATTCATTTCCTCACATGGCGGATGATGATAGGGGATGCAGGCAAGGGAGCTATGCTCAGCTGAATCAATTTCAAGTCTCCTCAATGCCTAGTCTTCTTGAACATCTTTCTCTTGCTATGGGTAAGCAGATATTTTTGTTAACTGTTCAGCTGGCTCAGGAGTATCTCATTTTGTGCCAGCATTGCTGGAATCCATTAGATTGTGAGCTCCTTGAAGGCAGGGATTGATTTTTGCCTCTTTTAGAATCCCCAGTGCTTAGCACGATGCCTGACACATAGGAGATACTTCTTATTAACACATATATGTTAATAGATTGATTGATATAAAAACTAAACCACTGGGGGACTGACAGGTTCAGCCCAACCTAGGCTTCTGATGCCCAAGCAAGTCCCTGGAGTGACTTAGAGAGACAGTGATTCTATAGGATGAACAAGGATTGGCCACGCTCCCCTGGGGGACCTTTAAGAGTTCATCTTGGGGGCAGCTAGGTGGCACAGTGGATAGAGCACTGACCCTGAAGTCAGGAGGACCTGAGTTCAAATCTGGCCTCAGACCAAACATTTGACACTTACCAGTTGTGTGACCCTGGGTAAGTCACTTAACCCCAATTGCCTAAAAAAAAAAAGTTCATCTTGTCAGTCCAGGTGGATGTCAGCTTCAAAGAGGAAGTGAGCTCCTAAGAAGGCATATAGAAGATTCGGTCAGTCAGCTAACAAGCACTTATTGAATGCCTATGATGTGCCAGACATTGTGATAAGCTGGAGAAAGGTGAACAGTGAGAACTGAGTAAAGGTTGGGCAGAGGCAGATGCCATAAGGAGCTAGGCCAAGACTCCAGGAGCAAGGGATTGTGGGTAGCTCAAGTGGAAAGAGTATCAGGACGGACTGTGTTGTTGAAATCTCCCCCCATGCACCACACACCCCTAGGTGCTAATTCTGTATCTCCTTTATCACTTTGGGCACAGAGAAAGTCTGTTTACTTTCTTCATTTTAAACATTTACTTTATCTCTATAAACAGTGTTAACCACAGGCATGTGCTAGTCTGGGTGTGTTTCGGAAATGAAATTAAGAGCAAACAACTGAGGGGGAACACTGTAAGGGAGGAGAAAGAGATCTCTCCAATGCTGCGTGTTTTTTCTGCATGCTGTTGCAGCTGGGGCTTCAAAGCTAGAAAAGATGAAGAATTACAGATCTTTTGACACAATGTTCCAGAGTAGGAAGAAATAGTGATGCTAGGAAGCCCACGGAGCAATGAGTCAGAAGTGCTGTGAGAGGGAATGGTAAATGGGAGCGGTTCTTACCGATCCACGTCAGCCCAACTGCAGTAATGGACACAATCCTAAAATAAGTCAGGTTACTGTCATGTTCAATCTCAGACCCAGAGAACTAATGCTGAGGTGGGGAACTCTGAGTATGAGACGAGACATATGCTTTCAGCCTTGGTCACTTATGACTGTTTAACACAAAGATTTTTCTTTGTTAATAATAACAGCACTTTGCAAATGTCATCTCATTTTATCCTCACAAAAACCCTGGGAGGTAAATGCTATTATTATCCCCATTTTATGTAGGAGGAAACTGAGGCAGCCAGAGGTCAGGCGACCTGCCCAGGATTACACAATTTATATGTATTTGAAACAGGATTTGAACTCATCTTCCTGACTGTGAGTACGGCATCCACTGTGCTCTGAGCTGCCTCTTATTATAAGGGAGGGTTCAAGAGTGGTATTCGAGGATAGGGAGGGGCCTATGACTGACATAATTAAAAAAACATCATTAAAAAGCTCAGCTGCATTGGCAGGGAATGAACCTGAGAGCTGGGCATGGGTGGTGGGCAGCATCTTTCATAGAATCATAGAGTTAGAGCCAGAAAGAAGCATGGTGGTCATTGTGTCCATTTTATAGATGAAGAGACTGGAGCTCAGGGGGTGGTGATGAGGTCACATATAGTGAGTGCCAGAGCTGGGGTTCAAGGCCAGATCATCTGAGTCTAAGCTCAGCACATCCTCTAGGGCTGAAGGAAGTCTGAGCTCCGTTCTGAGGCACCTAGGACTCCATGAGGTGGCAATTATAGAAGATTGAAGTTTGGGTCTTACTTATTGTTCACCAGATGCTAATTCCCATTTAGGATCCAGAGGGAGTGAAGGCTAGCCTGGATTTGAGTTCATGCTTCGGGTTAGTTGCAGCCCCTGGT